ATAAGTGATTTATTTATTGTTTGCACTTATCATTTTGTATATTTTGTTAAGTGGGGAAAGTAAGGTTAATCCTACATGAGTGTTTTGAGCTGCAAACCATACAATTATATTGTAAACATTTACAACCATGATTCTTTAAAAAAATGTATAAAGCATTTTTTATTTTTTTATTATTTTGACTTTGTTTATTACATATTTTCATTGTAATATTCGTATAATGCATTAAAAAATGAGGGTTATGTCCAGCTTGGTGTTCCTTTAGTGTGCTTTTAACGGTTTCATTTTTTTACAGGGAAATCCAATAGCAGCACAGTATGTGTTCTGAGGTCCAGGAATCATGCAATATTCATTGTTCTCTCTATCTTTTCTCCATTAGTTTCTTTTGTTGCTTGCACATTTTAAGTGACTAGATTTCCTTAAAACATAGGAACTGGATAGAGGAAATTACAGGATTAGTGACGTCTAGGGACACCATCTCAATAATGATCCAGTATTTTACAGTGTTTTAGATGTACAAAGGAAATTACACTCATCAAGAACAGAAAATGCAGAATTGCTAGAGACAATTCTGATTATGAAGTTGGCAATTCCGATTTCCATTTTAGCATGACTAGGAATTTGAGTTATAATTCATATTTCACCAAAATGTGCAATATGACTAAAAAGAATAAGTCAGGAGTGCTATTAGACACATGTCACAGTAATGAGATGTATTCAAAATTTGTGGTACATAATCCTCAACAATTTTCATTGAAACTCATTCTGCTATAGATGGGGACAAATTGTGCACACTCTCTAAAATAATATTATTGTACATAAACCTAAAATAATAAATATAGTGTGTATTCTCACTCCCAGTACTCCAATTACACTTCTACACCTGTGCAGCAGCAGAACTACTGCTGGTGCAGCCAGTGCGGCTGTAATGGAGTCCAAAAGCTCAGGGGGACCATCGGGTGGCCAATGCACTTAAACATCGCTCCTCCAGCCCTTTAACATCGCTACAGGGGCCATGTAATCTCAGCTGTGCTGGGATGAAGTGAAGGCCAGTCACTACCCCCAACATAACCCAGAGCCGTGTGGGAGGAAAAGGCAGAAAGGGGGGGGGGGCCCAGAGTGGGATAGGCTCTGACTCTTAACAGTCCAGCCAGTTGACTGGATAGAAAAAGGTAGTGAACAAGAGGGTGGTTTAAAATGTGTATATTTTGCATGTTTGTATCTTTGTGTGTGTTTATCTTCTGTGTGTCTGTATGTGTATCTACCTGTGTATCTATATATGTGTGTCTGTTTATCTATGTGAGTGTGTGTTTGTGTATCTGTGTGAGTGTTTTGTATGTGTATGTGTGTCATTGTGTATATCTGTGTGCATGGGTGTCCACAGGATTTTTTTCAGAGGGGGGCATAATTGTAATCACATCCATGCTCGGCCCCTTTTTGACAGTGTCATTATCACATAAAGCACAGGCATTCAAAGGGTTGAGAAACCTGATGCAAAATTTTATTAGAAGACTCAAGATGACATTGTCTTGTTTAAGTATTGCAGTTTTGTTTTAATGTTAACACTATTCAATGCACCCCATTAGTCATACACCCATGATCAAGGCACTATAACTGAATTATAAAAATAAAAATGTAGAATCTGCATTTGGTGTTACATTTGGCCACAGCAATAGGTGTTATGCACAGCATCAGATTGTACCCACAGCACTTTTTACATCACAGCACCAGATTACACCCACAGTGCAAGGTTTCACTTGCCACAGCACCGGACTGCAAACAAAGCTTTTGCCACATCATCAGGTAGCATGCACAGCAGTTACTACAGTACAGTCCATGTGTCTCATTCCTCCCCTCCCCTCCAACCCCCCAGCTCCTCTATGTGACTCATTCCAACTTCCAGCCTCTTCATGTTACTCATTCCACCCCCAGGCCCTCCATGTGTCTCATTCACATTTTAGCCCCTCCATGTGTCTCATTCACCACCCTGGTGCCTCTCTTTGTGTATTCCCCCCTCTCTTCCTGTGCCCGCTGACCTCCAAGTAGCATGGCAGAGCGGACCGCGGTAGAGGATCTTCTGTTTCCTCTACCCGGCTTGACCACACTACATGCATTGACTGGCCGAAAGGGAAACATTGTGCTGTGTACTTCCCTTCTGCCGGTCACCCAGACATTGCACCAGGGACGGATCCAGAAGCTAATCACGGGAGAGCAGGGCCGGACTGGGGATACAAAGCAGCCCTGGAAAAAAAATTGTACCGGCCCCATCAGTCACTGTGTCATATATTGTCGCGTGTAATATGTAAGGCTATGTCTTGCCATGACAGATGATTGAGTAATATATATATATATATATATGTATATATATATATATATATATATTGCTTTTTCTAATATAAAATATTGGTCCTTTCAGGGTAAAACGTTTAATTATACAGTAAGCATTCTCACATGCAGACACAGGCAATTTCACTGACATCTCAATGACACACACAAGCTCATTGATACACAGCCTCATAGACAAACAATCTCACTGATATACATCAGCTCATTGACATAAAACACAAGCTCACTCAATAGCAGGCACACGCATGCAAGCAAGCTCACTCACTAGCAGACGCACACACACAGCTTAATGTAGTGGTACTGGTGTCTATAGCATGTCCCTACAGGCTTTTCAACGTAAACACTGACTTTTCAGAGAAAAGGCAGTGTTTACATTGCTTCAAAGTGACACTGCTAGTGACAGTCACTTAGACGGTCACTAGAGGTGCTTCCTGTGTTAGTGCACCTACATTCAGGGCTCCAAACTCTGTAGGTGCTGAACGTTCCCCATAGAGGTACATTGATTCAATGCATCTCTATGAGGAGATGCTGATTGGAGTGGCGTTTTGCAGCCAATCCTATGGCAAAGCATTGGATTGGCTGAGATCATCAAGCTTGATGATCTCAGCTATAGAGGCAGGGCCAGTCGAGGGGAGACCAGCATGCTGCGTGGGGAAAAAAAAGGTGAGCAAAAACACTATTTTTAAACACACATATACACCATGACAGACACAGAAACACACATATACCATGACAGATACACACCCCATGATAGATACACACACCATGACACACCATGACACAGACAGGCACACACCCCATGACGGACAGACACAAACACACCCCATGATGGACAGACACACACACACCCCATGACGGACAGACAGACACACACACCCCATGATGGACAGACACACACCCCATGACGGACAGACACACACACACATCCCATGATGGACAGACACACACACACACACACCCCATGACGGACAGACACACACACATCCCATGACGGACAGACACATACACATCCCATGACAGACAGACACACACCCCATGACGGACAGACACACACACACACACACCATACAGACACCATAACAGACAAACTCACACTGACACATTACTAATACCTGCCAGGAGGAGGTCTTCTGGAGGCCGCTGGGGAGGTCTGCTGGCGGCCGCTGGGGGACTTGTACTGGCGGCTGCTGGGGGAGCTGCGCTGGCTCTGCTTTCCCGCCCTTGCGCGCTGCTGAACGAGACCAGCGCCGGAATATGACATCATATTCCGGCGCCGGTCTCATTTAGCTGCGCGCTGGGGAGCAGAGCTAGCGCAGCTCCCCCAGCACAAGTCCCCCAGTGGCCACCAGCAGACCTCCCCAGCGGCCTCCAGAAGACCTCCCCAGCGGCCGCCAGCAGACCTCCCCAGCGGCCGCTAGCAGACCTCCCCAGCGGCCGCCAGCAGACCCAGATGTCTGCCCGGCCCCAGGTAGGCCAGTCCAGCCCTGCGGGAAAGGCACTGAATGTTAAAAACTGGTGTGTTTGTCTGTGTATTTATAGTCTATATATTGAGGTACTCCAAACTGAAGCAAATTTAAATGTAAATTGCAAATTTAAAGCAAAGTTTGATTTGAAAAAAATCGATTTTGGCCTTAATTTTGCAATTCAGTTTTCAATTTACTGTAACACATAGTTTAGTGAAGACCCTGTTGCGCGTTTTCATTTCTGCAGAACCTCTTAATGTAATATTTACTGCAATAAACAGCAATAAACCTTTAGTATTACATGATCATTTACCTACTTCTTATTACTTTGTGCTAGTGAGCATCTTCCCATATTGTCCCTTGCTTTAGTGGTGTGCCTCTTTCTATACTTCCGTAGTGTTCTTCTCTCCAGATACTCTACCCCACTTTCTGTCTTTATATATATATATATATATATATATATATATTACCACCAACTTCTTTTTATTTATTTATTTATTTATTTATTTATTTTCAGATAAAATTTCTTATCAGGTGTACAAAGAATAAGTGAATTTAAAGATAGAATGGAACTTATACAACTTAAAAAAGAAAATTAAAGTACATCCTGGTACAGTCATCCTAAAGAACATGACATAAATTATACAGATTGTACATATCATTGGGGTTATACTAAAGTGTTTTTTAGATTTCCCTACATTTTACTGGTCCCTTGTCCTTCTCTGATTCTGTTTACTGCTTAAATTTCGTTTGTGTGGCAAGATCCTATTAACATTTTTCTATGATTCTCGCTAATCTCTTGTTGGATTTCCTTTGTGTATTTGCCTTGTTCTCTATTGGTGGAAGCTATTTCAATGTGGTATACTCATTTTCCCGTTCTTTTTCCCGTCCCTTTAAGAGTGCTTGCCTTCTTTCCTTTAAGAGCCTTGTTTTGTTTTTAGGAACGACATCCATGGTTCCCAGATGATTGATTTATTGGTTTGATTTACCCATTGTGGACATTCTCAGTTCTTCCATCTTATGGATGTTGTCTATTTTCATGTACCATTCCCTTCTAGAGGGTCTTTTGTGTGTCTTCCAAAGTCCCGCTATTACTGATTTTGCTGCTGTTAATACGTAATATAGGAGTGAACGTTTGAATTTGTTCAAAGACATAGGTATGTTAAAAAAACAGGAGCGTTTCAGGAGTAAAGGTTAGGGGACATTACTGAGTTGTTCTGTGAACCTCGCTACTTCCCTCCAGAAACCCTCTATTCGCTTACAGGTCCACCATATGTGCTGGTAGGTACCCTGTTTCTTCTCGCACCTCCAACACAGCGGGGAGTTGATGATGTTAAATTTATGAGCGTTTATGGGGACAATGTACCATTGCGTGAGAAATTTATAGTTAATTTCCTGCAACATAATGCTAGAGTGTGATTTCATCATTTTGGTAAAGATTGTTAGCCAGGTCTGCTCTTCTATCTGAGTCGAAAACCATTTCTGGTTCTTTATCGTATACCAGGGAAGTTGATTGTTTACGCTTTCTTGTATCATGTGGTAACATTTGGCTATGGTTTTATTTGTAGGCGGGCGGGAGCATAGTTTCTCAAACTGTGTATCTTCCCTTGGCTTCCAGTGGAGTAACCCTTCCTTATTTAAGAAATGTTTAAGTTGGTGGTATTGGAATATTTGTGTCATTGTTGCGTTGGTGGAGCCTGTTAGATTCTTCAGAGGTATAATTACTTTATCAGTGATTATGTCCCTTAATGTTATAAATTTGTCTTCTGACTGAGTAATATCAGTGCTTTGCATTATGCCACCTTTGCCTATAGGGAGTAGGGGGTTGTGGGATATTGGGTAGTTTGGCGATGGTGTTGGTGTAAACTCCGTATGTAGATGTAATGTCTTCCAGATTTTGAGTGTGGGGGATAGTGTCGGGAGATCATGCGGTATCTTGCCTCCGGTGGTGGACAGGGTCCATGGGAGTGTTTGTGATTGTTCTATGTCTACCCAGGCTTTTTTGGCTCCTCCTCTATACCACTCCAATATTCTTCCCAGGTGTATTGCCCTATGGTAGTTTTGGATGTTCGGGTATCCCAGTCCCCCCCTCTCCTTGGGCCTTGTCAGTAAATTGAAGGCTATACCCGGACGTTTCTTTGCCCAGATGAAGGATGTAAGCATTGACTGGATAGTATGGAAGAAATGATTTGGAATATGTATTGGGATTGTAGTTAGGAGATATAGAATACGTGGGAGCACATTAATTGAGATAATATTTATCCATCCCATCCATCGAAAGTGAGGTCTATCCCATCTATCCAGGTCTTTCTTTATGGCTGTTATCAGATCTGGAAAGTTTGCTTTGTAGAGTGTCTTGTGTTTGTTAGTAATTTGTACCCCTAGATATTTAATGGAGTGTTTTGCCCATTGGAAAGGATAGGCTTCTTTCAGTTTTAGTATTTGGTGATTGGGCACATTTATATTTAATACCTCACATTTGTCTACGTTGATTTTGAAATTAGATAACTTGCTGTATCTATTCAAGACCTCTGTCAGGTGAGGGAGACTGGTTAAGGGGTGTTCTAGGATAAATAATAAGTCGTCAGCAAAAGCTGAAACTTTATATTCCTGTTTCTGAACCCTGATTCCCTGTATGTTAGTTCGTTTACGTACTTCCTGCAAGAGGGTTAATATAAACAGGAGGGGCGATAATGGGCTCTGTCTAGCAAAATATGTGTGTCTTCAGATCTTTGTAGCAATCTGTTAAAAAGTGATTGCAGCATTAAGTGGAGGTCTTCAGAGTTTCCCTGTGATTCTGGCATACCTCTAATTCGTACGTTATTTCTTCTGCTGCGGTTATCTAGATCTTCAGTGTTTCTCATTATGTACATAAGTTTAGTATCTCTGTTCTCTTGGTTTCGTTCTAGTGATAGTATTCTGTCTAATATTTGATCCCTATCTTCTTCCAGGTCCCTATCTTCTTCCAGGTCCCCGACCCCGTTATTAACTTGCCTTATATCAGACGTCAGGGAGGAGATCTGGTCCTGCATGGACGATTCCAATTTCGCCAGCATGGCTGCAATGTCGTTTTTCGATGGTAAGTTTTGCAGGATTTCTTTAATATCCGCCATTCTGGGGTCTGAAGATAATTCTGACCCGGCGGGGCTTTGTGGTGATGATCCATGTGGCGAAGATGGCGCCGTTTGGCTGTCGTCCAGGCCTGTTCCGAGCACTTTCACTGTGTCTCGAAAGTATTTGTCCAGATCGACGGATTTTTTAGTGGATCCTTGGTCCGGAGTATTCAGGTTAGTGCTGGGTTTCTTTTTATTGCCCATTTGTATATTTTCGGTCTTTTTAACCAGCTTTTTAGATGCCGCCGACGGGGAGCTTCGTTTCCGTGCGTCCGCTCACATTTGGTGCTAGGCCACGTCCCGCCTTTACCACCAACTTCTGTCCCTCTCCTCATATTCTGCCCCTATACCTTCTGCTTTCTCTAACTCCACCCCCCCCACAAACAAAAAAAAAATCTGTGTCCCTTTTCTAATATCCCCCACACACCTTCAACCTCCATATTAACCCCACACACCTTTTGTCCCTTTTCTCCCTTTTGTCCCTCTGAAACCTTCAACCTTTCTCTATATTCTCCCCACTTTGTGTCCCCTTTTTCAAATCACCCCGCACTTCTCTTTTATAATCAGACATACAACAGCATACAGACATAATTTTAATCTCATTACTGTACTTCTACTAGACACAAACCTTCAACTTGCTTCATATCCCCCACCAACTTCTGTCCTTTCTCTCATAACCCATCCACACACACCTACACCTTTCTTCATATTCTCCATGTGTCCATTTTTTAATAACTCCCTAAGCACACCTTTATATTCTTGACTCCTACCACCCAATCTGCCACATTCTACATATTTTTTCCATGTCTGTCTATTCCCAATTATATTGTGATTCGCCCCCCACCTGCTCTGATGTAGTCTGGCTGAGTGGCATGGGACTGGTAGTCCTTGCAGAGAGCTCAGTTTAGTTTGGCGCCACCTGCAGGTAGGAGGGAGCAATGCTTGAAGTCTATCCCTGCAGCCCACTCACAGATATGAACACTTGGCTGCTTCATGTGCACACACTGTAAGTGCAGACTTTTTATATATGTTTTTGTTATTAGTTAGTAAACAAAGTACCCACTTCAGGTAATCCTGCATGGGTACCTGTGGGGAAGGGGAGCAAGTAAAAAAATTCATGAGTGGAGGAGGGGTGGGGGTGGAGGGGTAAGTGCCCCCTCTTGTCTCCCTCTTTGGACGCCCATGTCTATGTGTCTGTATCTCTTTGTGTCTTTGTGCATGTGTATCCAGATGTGTGTCAATGGGTTTGTGTGTGTGTGTGTGTGTGTATCAGTGTCTATGAGTTGTGTGTGTGACAGTATATACGTATATGTGCATACCTCTCAGCATTCAAACTCCAACACTACACACACATACACATTCAAACATCAGCACTGCATATAGACACATCCCTGCATTCAAAGGCAACCACTATGGACAGTACATAAAAACACACACTATACACAAATACACCACTACATTCACACACACTCATACTCTATACAAAAGCATGCTTACATTCAAAGATACACTTAATACAACTCTGTAAGGATGGACAAATGATAGATCCCTAACTGGCAAAACATTGTGGGAGCTATATGACAGAGGGGATTCTACCTTTTTCCCATCCTTACAATAGGGGGCCCAAAAATAAATCTTGCACCAGGGCCCTCCCTAGTTTAGTTTCACCACTATTCTATCTATTCAAACCTGAAAAATAAATTGCCACAAAAATGTAAACCAAACACTACTGTGAATGAGCAAGCCTGATGGAATTACTACACAAGTGATCACCAGGATCTTTATATTGCGTTTCAGGTGTCCACCATTAGGTTAAAGCAAATAGTCTTATCAACTGGCTATCAATAGAAGGTCAAGAAGCAGACCATTTGTGCAGGACTTCAAGTTTTTACTAATACACATACTAAATTAAGAACAATTACATAATAAAATGGTGAGAAATCTCTACATAGGGTGTGACAGAAGCTCCCATGCCACGGCCTTTTGGAGATGCTTGAGGCCAGACTCTTGCCCACAGACTATGGACCTGGTCCCAAGAACTTCTGAACGGGGCTTGTTATAGTAGCAATTGAAATAAAAACGATTAATTGTTAATTGATAACCCAGCAGCGTCATCTACTGACTGCATGAAAGTATGTATATTGGCATAATGTTGGTATGCAAATGAGGGCAACCAATAACACAGTTAAAGGAACACTATAGTCACCAAAATTTCTTTAGCTAAATAAAGCAGTTTTAGTGTATAGATCATTCCCCTGCAATTCACTGCTCAATTCACTGTCATTTAGGAGTTAAATCACTTTGTTTCTGTTTATGCCACAACTCCCCTGGCTATGATTGACAGAGCCTGCATGAAAAAAAAACTGGTTTCACTTTCAAACAGATGTAATTTACCTTAAATAATTGTATCTCAATCTCTAAATTGAACTTTAATCACATACAGGAGGCTCTTGCAGGGTCTAGCAAGCTATTAACATAGCAGGGGATAAGAAAATATTAATTAAACAGAACTTGCAATAAAGAAAGCCTAAATAGGGCTCTCTTTACAGGAAGTGTTTATGGAAGGCTGTGGAAGTCACATGCAGGGAGGTGTGACTAGGGCTCATAAACAAAGGGATTTAACTCCTAAATGGCATAGGATTGAGCAGTGAGGCTGCAGGGGCATGTTCTATACACCAAAACTGCTTCATTAAATTAAAGTTTTTCAGGTGGCTATAGTGTCCCTTTAAATGCACATATTGTTGCTTTTTATTTTGTTTTAAAATGTTATTTGTATTATATAGTTCATGTATAAATTATAATTGGTCATTCTCCAATGTTCTATATAGGTGTATTTTAAATGTTTGTCCTCAAAGGCTAGTCCTTGTGCAAAAATAGAGAATGTTATGTTAGTTGCTTTAGAAACGGTGTGTCCTGTGTAGAGATTTTTAGGGTTTCCGGTTACAGAGTCTACGGACTTGTTGGCTGGCTGAATGATCCTTCTAGCCTGGGAAAAGTCAAAAAGAGAGCTAGGTCTGAAAGCCAAAAGTATCTTTGTAAAGTCAGGAGCTATCACAGTGCAGGCAGAGGTGGATATCTGCCACTGGAAGGAGGACTGCAGAGGAATAGGCAGAGGGGATGATACCTGCTTGGAAGAAGGGAGCTGCAGCTGGTCGGGTGGAAGAGTTCCGGAGAGACCTCAGTCAAGCGTCGGCCGCAGGGGCTGAAGTGTTCCAGGGTACCCTGCGGAAGAAAGAAAGCGGACTAGTGGAGTATTTTTTTAAGGTTAACAAGCTCAACATAACATGAAAAGGTCTAGAAATTTTACTTCCCAAATACTAAACTTTAAACTGATGCAGTTGTTCTAATTATTGAAGGACACTTGCTAGTGAAGTGGTATGACCTTGTGGATTTGATTGTGGATTTTCCTTTGCATTGATGTTGCCGCTGCTCTAACCAGATGTTATTTCACTGTCCATCCCCCCAAAGTTAGGTTCAATCCCACACCAGTTACACTCCACCAATAGCAACCTCCCTCCAAATAAACAAAATTGCCTTAAAAACTGCCCTCACTGTAATAAACAGGATCAGGATGTAATGAATTTGTGGGGGTCTGAAGGAGCAAAAAAGACTTTTGAAGGTAAATATAATTTTTTTTTTTTTTTTTTAATCTTACCAGTATTAGATATATTGCCCCTCACTATTATTGGAGTTATTGCTAGGGGCTTGAGGATCCCTAGCCACTGAGTGGGAGGTGGTTACAGGGTGGATTGGCCATGTAAAACCCCTCATCAAATTTAATACCCCTCACCAAATGCCCATGGGTGGGGACTGGAGAGGACAGTGTGATACCCCCTGGTTATTAAACTTGTAGCCCTCACCCACCTCGTATGGGTAGATGCTGGGAGAGACATTAGTATGTTCCACACCCTAGTTTTTAGTTATAGTTTCTAGTTACATGCTCTCTGTTTAGCATATATGACCGCACCCAGGGCCGATGCAAAGAATTTTTGGCGAAGATTCATTTTGCTGACCCCCAATGCATTGTCACCTTTGTATCTCATAACCCCCTTTAGTGTGTCTTACACCCTGTTGTGTGTCTCCTACCCCCTTGTGTATCTCTAACTTCCCCCAGCCTCTTTGTTTGTCTCTTTCTTTTTTCCCCATACAGCCACACAGAGAGACATACAGACACTGTTAGGGTCTGTAGTAGAGCATAAGGGCTGCATGTGGGGGGGATAGAGGCTGTAGTTGCAGGGATATGTATCAGAGGAGTAGGGGGGCAGGGGATGTAAAATTGGGGGATAGGGTCTGAGAGGGGGTTGAGACTACCTTATCCCTGGTGGTCAGGGGCTGTAGAGGGGGGCACAGGGTCTGTAGAAGGGGGGCAGGGTTGATGTGTGGGGACAGGGGATGTAGAGGGGGAGGTAGGGGCTGCAGAGGTTGGCGACAAGGGCAGTAGAGGGGGGTATCAAGCTGTAGAAGGGGGGCAAGTGACATGGTGTGGTAAGGGCCTGTGCCGCCTTATGGACGTGCTGGCCCTTACCACACCTGTGGCATGGCAGGTGGGGGCATAAGGGAGGTTTTAAACCTTCCTTATATTAATATAAGGGTCAGATTGATCCCCATAGACTTTTTAAATTTCTTTACTTATTTTTACCATTTAATGTGGAGGCTGGCTATCAAGTTAATCATGTGGAGAGCATTCTACTCTCCACATGATTAACCCTCACACTGCTGAATGTTTTTTTAGCAATCTCCTTTCTGGTAGCTAGCAATGTCAATGGGCTGATAGTTCTTCATATTATCATCGGCTTGCACAAAAGTAACTGAACAATACTTTGGGAATGTTCATTCTGCTTGATGCATTTGGCATCTATTTAGTTTAAAATTGGTGCTTTGAACATATATCTAATATACTTTATATAGGTTTAGAATGCCAATATCAGTGTTTTTAAACAGACACCGAATTGGGCCAATTGGTGCAGATTCGGTCGGATTGGCCAAATCAAAACAGAATTAACCTTAGTAAATATGAGAATTGCCATTCTGATTGGAAATTTGCCATCTGGACAAAATTTGGTGTTTAATGTAAAACCCCATTAGTATCCAGTTTTACTCAGATAGGAGGATATTTATCGAGAATGAACAGATGCCAATTTGGGTGCAAAGGGCTAAATGTTGAGTCCTTCACTTCAAGGGACACTACAGTGTCCAAATAAAAT